GCGTGACGTTCCCACGCCAAAGTCAATGGACGTCCTAGGGTCTCAGTGTCGGGTTTCCTGTGGAAGGTTTCTTGTGGTCGAGCTCCTACTGTATGGTCGGATGTGCCTGAGCACGCGCGTTTGCCGACGTGTGGGCAGAGTTCCACCACCCTGAGGCCCCGAGGTGCTCGGGCTGACCTGACGGGGCGATCATGACAATGACGAGGCCCAGTCTGAAATCCGACGGTCTCCTGCTGCGGACGTCCCACGAAGATTGGGCCGGCAGCACCCAGGCTGCGCTCGTCAGGAACACGTCGGAGAGCGCGCCGGCCCCCGTGCCACAGGGGCACCCTCTTCGATGCGTGTGCCCTGCTCGACAGCGACGCGCGCAGCTCCCCAAAGCGCCGGACTGATCGGCGCCTTCCCGGGCGCCCGCGGCTGCGCGGGGCGCCTGCTGTCCGCTCGTCAAAAAAAACCTGGCTCGACAGGTGTACGCCCGCGCGCGCACACGTCCGTGAGCCGTGCGCGGCGGCCGACGCGCGCGGACCGCTCCGCGCCACCTCTGTCGGTGGGTGCCGGCCGTCCGCGCCTGCCGAGTCTGGCGGTGTGGTGCTCCGAAGGGCCGAGGGGGGGCAGTGGCGGCAGGGGCGGGGGCGGAGGCCGACAGCACGGGGCTCTGGCGCGAGGGGGAGGCCGACGAGCGTGTACACCGTACACCGCAGTGCCTGCGTGCACGCCACACCGCCTGTGTACACCACAGCAGCAGCGTGCAACACAGCGCCAGTGTGTGCCACAGTGCCTGCGTGCACCACAGCGCTTGTGCACACCACAGCGCCTATGTACACCACAGTGCACGCGTGCACCACAGTGCCTGTGTACACCACGGCGCCTGTGTGCACCACAGCATCCGTGCGCAACATAATACCGTTGTTGCAGATCGAATTTTAGAAGGAATTCTTTTGACAAGATGGAACGCCTGTGGATTCCACAAAAACATGTTTTATATAGGATTTAGAAATGAGTCCCTATGGAAAAGGAGCGCCGCTGCCATCTACGAGTCCTCCCGAATCTTCCCGCATCATACTAACTCTTCCCATATCCGTCCAGAAGGCTCCCGCAGAATTGGCCGTCCGAGAACCAAGTGGACGGATACAATAGGCCATTCTGCGGTGCACACTGAGATGCGCACGTGCGCTGTAGCGACGCGCCGATCCGCACGACGGGGGGGATGTTGAGAGAGGAGGAGGAAGAGGAGGAGGAGGAGGAGGGAGGAGGAGGAGGAGGAGGAAGAGGACAAGGAGGCGTAGGAGGAGGAGGAGGAGGTGGAGCAGGAGGAGGAGGAAGAGGAGGAGGAGGAGGTGAGGAGGAGGAGGAGGAGAGAGGAGGAGGAGGAGGAGGAGGAGGAGGAGGTGGTGGAGGAGGACACAGGCGCTGTGGTGTACACAGGCGCTGCGTTGCACACGGCTGTTGCGGTGTTTCACAGGTGCTGCGGTGCACACGCGCGCTGTGGTGCGCTCGAGCACCGTGGTGTGCACGGGCGCTGCGGTGCAGATCGCCACCTGCGTGCTGCTCCGACTTGGCCTCGGTCGTCCTTCGGCATTCCCAGACGCCGCCGGCGCTCGGGGGAGGGGGGGGGGGCGGGGCCGACGACGGCCGCTGTCCCGGAAAAAAAAACTGCTCTTATTTGGAGCAGAAGCATTGCAAAAAACCAAGGATTGCAAAAAACCTTTTTCGAAGGATTACAAAAAACTTGGGTTTTTTGCAATCCTGTTTTTTTTGCAATCCTTCGGTTTTTTGCAATGCTTCGCTCACGGAAGATGAGGCATGTTGAGGCATCGCATCCCAGGAGGCAGCGGTATCATCACTGTAGGGCAGAAGCAACTGAAGTCCTGGGCTTCTTGAGCTGTGGCAAGGAGAGAAGACCGACACTAGTCCGTGCCCACCGTGAGTAGGAGTCGCCGTCGGTGTCGCGGCGGGCGTCGCCGCTGTGGGACAAGAAGTGCTGCTGCCGGTTTTGGACAACATCTGCGTTTCGGCAACGTGCCCACTGTTCCGTATCCATCTCGGGCGAGCGATTGTGTCAATCTGGAGGGGAAAAAACATACAGACACAATGAATCGGCCACTCCCAGGAAGATACTGGGAAATGTGGGAAGTGGGGGGGAAGACAAACACCCAGAAACAACATTGGAAACTATGCAGAATCCTTTTTATATATGTGTGTATTTATTTGTGTGGCCCAGGGCCCCTTCAGTTAAATTTGACCAGAGGCCGGACCGCAGTTTGTTGCCCGCCCGTCGTCCCAGCCAGTCCAGCTGCCTGCGGGAACCCCCCTGCCAACCGTGCAGGGGCGGCAGCGCAGCAGGGAGGCGTTCGAGCCCTGCGCCAGGTCTGCACCCAGTCTGCACTGGCGGGTTTCGGGCATCCCCTCCTTGTCCTCAGTTTCTCTCGCTTCCTCCCTCCCGCCTCCCTGTCCTGGGTTATCTTTTGGGGGGGTCTCTTGGAGCCTTTGGGGGCCGTTTCTGAAGGCCCTCTGGACATCTGTTGGGGGATTTTGGAGCCGTCGCGGGCGAGATGGTTCTGTTGAGCTCTCCCGGAGCTGCTCGATGGGGCCGCTTGGACTTGTCTGCGGGCCGTGTTGGAGTTCTTTGGGGGCGATCTTGGGTTGTGGTGGGCCGTCTACGGGGGGCTTGTGGGGGCCCCCTTGGGACCGTCCGAGGCCTTCTGAAGCACATGTTCATCCCAAAAGCATTGGACGCAACTGTGATCAGTATCCTCCAGTTTTCTTTGCGTGTCACGCCTTCCAGAGCCTTGGTTGAGGTCTATTTGGGATCTCATTGGGGCTTCTTCGGGCGTCTTGGGGAGATCCTGGAGTCTGCGGGAGGTCATCGGGCCGTTTTGGGCTTGGCCTTGTTACATCTCAACATCGGAGCGGTCTCAGACCTGAAAGGCCGAGAAGGGTGCCTAGAAACACATTTGGGACGTGTGGCTTTCGTGGCGCGGTCACATGTTGGGGGCGAGACCGCCTCCTATAGCCTTGCAGAGACACTCCCAGACCTGCCACCAGTGCCCCAACACGCCGCAGCGTGCCGAAGGCACAGTGGCGGATTGTGCATATTTTATGTCCTCATGGCGGCCCATCGTGCCACTCCTGGTTCAACGTCCTTCTCCAATTGCCTCTTACTGTCCTCCGTCGTCGTCGTCATCGTCCTTCGCATTCCTCCTCGTTCTCGCCCTCGTGGTCTTCGTCCTCGTCCTTGTGCTTCTCTTCCTTCTCGTTGTCCTTATGCTCCTCCTCGCCATCCTCACGTTTTCCACGTCGTCCTCGTCATCGCCTCCTCGTCGCCCTCGCCTTCCTTGTCTTCTTCTTCGGCCAATGCGCCCACTGGACTGGAGCAGCGCTTCTCGCTCTCGTGAAATCAGGTTGTGCCAGGTCTGTGTTCTCATGGTGGCCCACCGTGCCGCCCGTCCCCCGCTCTGGAGGAGAGCTCTTCTTGAGCCCCCCGAGGCCACGGCCAGGGGCTCCTCCTCCTCCTCCTCCTCCCCCTGTTCCTGTTCCTGTTCCTATTCCTCCTCCTCCTCCTCCTCCTCCTCCTCCTCCTCCTCGGGCCGTGCGTCGCGCATCGGGGCTGGGTGACTTGGAAGTCTCTCTGCAGGCCAGCCCCTGGGACCTGCACCGAGGGGCGGTCGAGGGCATTCTCCCCCCTGCCCTCTCAAGGGCCACGCCCTCTGTTTTGCTGCTCCGCTGGCTGCGCAGTCTTGCGGACGTGGGCGGGGTGCGTCTGATTACCATGTTGAAACATAGCCCCATCCCTATGTTTGACATCACCTCACCTCGATGCCCATCTTGAGGATCCCTTCAGTTCCTGAGGGCCTATCCCTAAGATTGTCCTCGCTTTTTGCTCGCCCATCTCAGGGATAGGGATGAGCTCGAGGCTGGTTATCTGGGGCCTTCCTTCGGCCACCTTCTGACGGGGGCACCGTGGGGCCTCCCGGCCCACGACCGAGACGGACTGGGCAACGTTGGGGCTGTCGCGGGGCCTCTGTAGCTCATCCTGGGTGCCTCCTAGGGTTATGTCGGGCGTGTCCCCCTACAGGGCTTTTCTCGACGAAAAATAAGAAAATATCCTACACATGCCCCAATAAGGCCAACAAAGATTCAAAACATAGTCCCCAAACTATTCTTGGACTATGTTTTATTGTTTTTTGGGTATGGTTTATTTGTCGTCGAAAATCCCCTTTAGGGGGACAGGCCCGACTTAACCCTGCTGGGCTATCAGAGGCCTGTTCCTAGCGAGATCTTACGCTCTCAGGGGTCCACCGTGGGCCTCTGCGCCATGACACTGGGACGCGCAAGCAGCATGACAACGCGTTGCTTGTTCGATGTGTGTCGCTCTCACGGGGGCGCCTCGGGGCTGTATTCGGATCATTTGCGAGACAGATTGGTGCCATCGTCGGCCATTTTGGGCTCTTGAGGCCATCCTCGGAGGCTTTTGATTGCTTTTTTGAGGCCTCTTGTGTTCTGTGCTGTTCAGTGGCGCCCTTGGGCTACCTGGAGCGACCAGGAGGGGAAGGGACCCTCACCCAGGTGTTTGATTTGACGTCTAGACGCAAAAACGGATGGAGACAGGTCAAAGAGACAACACAACGAAAGATTGCGCGCATGATGAAGGACACGAGTCTGGCAGAGACTTCGCAGCTCTGCGCCCCCACTTGGGGCCAGCGGTTCCCAGGAGTTCATGCAAGCGTGCGTCTACGGTGTTCGTGAAGGTTTGCAGTCATTGGCACGGACTGTCGTCGCATAAGTCACAACATGTGGGGCGTTCCAGGAGATGCCTCGCTCTCGGCGCGTCTTGCCCTTGGGCAGAAGCTGGCGGCAGTGAAACGGCGGCGGGTCCACCGGGGGAAGGTCGGCGGGAGCCAGCGGAAGCTAAGGCGAGACGTCAGCATGTTTGGATCAGGGTGTCTGGAGTCTCTTATGCGTGCCCGCGCCTCTCTCTGCTTGGTGATTTGGGTCTCGAGGCTCCAGCGTGAAGCACACCAACGCAATCTTGCGACACCTTGCGCAGGCGACCAGCGACGTTATGTGCTGTTTGTGGTGCATCATGATTATGGGAGGTGTTGGTCGCCAGTATGTGCAATAGAGAGTAGTTCGTTTGGAGATGAGCCTTCGATAGACACCAGCCGTCCTTGAATGTTTGTACTGAAAGCGCTCGCACGACGATGTGCAAGGTAAGATTCGGACTTGGGGCATCGACTCGCAATACATTGTAGGCTTCATCCTTCGCCAATGCGAGCATGCATGTTGTGTTCTTCAATGCCCCAGTCTGCCTGCGGTGGGTCACGCCGTGTCGAAGCGGTGGCGACCCCAGCGCGGATGTGCACGGCTGAGTGCCGCCAGCGTTGCTTGGACTTGACCGACATCGAGGTTCCCGCGCCGTTGGAACACCGCGATCGCTCAAGGTTGAGCGATCTAAGCGGTAACAGAAATTCGCGCCCAAGTCGTCTCGGCACGAACATGCCGTGTGTCTTCTTGCGGCCACCCTCTCCCCAGCCCTCTGTCCTCTTGCAATTCTTCTCTTGTCGAAGAGAGGGTAAGCCGAGAGAGCGCACACACCAGGCCCTGCATCGGCGCAGGCCGCGTTCACAGGCGCGGCAGACCGCGGAGGTGTTTTTGCACTCAGATCTCAGAGGCGTCTGCGTTCGGAGGCTCGTCCTGCGCGACACTCCGGCGGCAGGCGCAGAGGAGAAAAGAAGGTGAGGGGAGGGGAGGGGGCGTAGACATTGAAGGATGAGGATCTCCCCTGCCGCTCTCCTCCCTCCCTCCCCTCCCTCCCCCAGCACCTCCAGAGCCGAAAGGACAGCTGCTGGCCACTTCGCTTGCGAAGCTGATGTCACGCATGTTCCTCCCTCCCTCCTGCCCTCCCTCCTCGTCCTCCCACGCCCCTCGATGTCTCCTCCTCCCTGCTCCCCCCTCCCCCCTCCCCCCTCCCTCCCTCCTCCCTCCCTCCCCCCTCTCTCCCTCCCCCCTTACTCGACCCTTCCCTCCTCCTTTTCCTCATCCTCCTCCACCTCGCTCCCCTTCCGGTCGATGCCATCACGCCCCCCTCCCCCCCCCCTGCTCCCGGAGCCGCAGGTGACCGAGGCCGGCCTCATGGGCCGCACTTTTGCCGAGGAGGCGCAGGTGGACAGCTGGCTTGAGTGGTCCATGCTAGAGGCGCCGCCCCTGGACGCCCCCTCCGGGGCCGGGCGAATGCTGGAGGGTTGGGAAAGTCGGGGGCGGCTCAGACGGGGGCGTTGGCTAGGTGGGGGTGGGTATCATGGCGGGGGCGATCATATCGCCCCAGATTTCATGTCGCCTCTTCACATTTCAATGCGTCCCTGACCCTCCCCCCTTGGCTTAGGTTCGGCAATTGACTACATGCGGTCCATAGGAAAACCTGCCGAAATCTTCAACAAATCTTTGGCCAGGAACTCAAACTCCAAAAACATATCAAAACATCTTGAATGGGAAACTCAAACTCCAAGACAACCTGAGAAAATCTCAAACACAAAACCTGGGGAAAACTCAAACACAGAAGAAACTACAGAAAATCTTGAACCCGAAACCTGGGAAAAAACTCAAACCCACAGAAAACCTAAAAAAAACGTGAAGCTCAAACCTGAAAAAACAACTCAAACCCGGAAGGTTGTTTTCCCAGAGTTTGTTTAGAGGTGTTTCCAGAGTTTTTGTTTGAGTTTTTTCCAGAGTTGTTTTAAGTTGCTGTTAACAAATATTTTTCAAGCGTTTACAACGTTATAAGAGTTGCCCAGAGTTGTTTGTAAAGTGTTCAGTCTTTTAGAGTTTTTGACCAAAGTTTGTTTAGAGTTTGTTTAGAGTTGTTTTTAGAGGTGTTCCAGAGTTTGTTCCAGGGTTTTCCGAGAGTTGTTCCAAAGTTTTTCCCAGGTTTCGGTTTAGAGTTTTTCTGGAGTTTTTGTTTGGTTTGAGTTTTTTCCCATGTTTGAGTTTCAGGTTTTTGTTCAAAGTTTTTTGTGGGTTTGAGTTGTTCGCAGGTTTGGTGTTTGAGTTTTTTCCAGGATGTCGACCTCCCCAGGTTTTGGTTTCAAGATTTCCTTATGTATTTTTCTGGTTTGGGTTTTTTGGTCCGAAGTGGTCGTGGACCTCCTGTAGCCGCAATTGCCGGACCTAACCCTTGGCCGTGCACATGCCGCCGACCGTGTTTTGGTCCCCCCCTTCTTGGACGCCCCCCTCTTGAACGCCCCCGGATGTGGGAGGATTGGGAGAGGGGGAGGGGTACGAACATTGCCGCATGCAGCCTTTTTTGGCCCCGCTGCCAAGCGCTTTCCTCGATACGCCGGCGCTTGGAGGCGCCATCAGAGTCTGCTGCGTGAGCGGAGTCGCGAGCCCACCCCCCCTTTTCGTCCGACCCGAGTCTTCCCGGGGGGGGAGGGGGCCTTCGGGAGGGTGTCTCGGGTTGCCGCATCATGCCCTTTTCGGGTCCTCTCGGGGAGGTGCTCTCGATGAGCGTTCTCGGGATAAGTGTTCAGCAGCATTTGCAAAGTGTCCTCGGAGGGCTTGTGGAGCGGAGGCGGGGAAGGGAGGAGTGAGGAGGAGGAGGAGGAGGAGGAGGAGGAGGAGGAGGAGGAGGAGGAGGAGGAGGAAAAAGAATAATAATACTATTAATAAGAAGAAGAATACTAAGAAGGATACTAAGAAGAAGACGGAGTCATGAGGAGGTGAAGGGCGAGGAGGAGGAGGAGGTTTGATGGGGGGAGAGGAGGAGCGGAGAAAGGGGGAGGAGGAGGAGGAGGAGGGAGGGGGGGGGGAGAGAGGAGGAGGAGGAGGAGGAGGAGGAGGAGGAGGAGGAGGAGGAGGAGGAGGAAAGGATGAGGAGGAAAGACGGAGAGGAGGCGGATGAAGAAAGTGCAAGCGGAGAGCGAGTGAGAAGAGGAGGGGGTGGGTCTAGGAGGCAGTTGCCAGATTTCGAGAACTATTGGCAAGTTTCTTTAGAGTTGGATGAGGAGACGGGCGGATGCAGAAGGATAACGAGGAGGAGAAGGAGGCAGGAGGCACTGCCCCGCGTGAGCTCTGGCCCCAGGGACGCTGGGCCGCAGCCCTTGTAATAGCGGGGGCAAAGGGCCGTGGGGTGACCCGCAGATCGAGGCGGGGGACGGCTCCCAGGCAACGTGATGGGGATGGGCTCAGGGGGCAGCGTGAGTCGGGGGGGACAGAACCCCCAACAGTGACACGTCGATTAGTTAGTGGATTGTCCGTTCTCGGTTCTCGAGAGGGCGCCGTGGCCGCTATTTTCCAGGCTTGCGCCCGCCAGGTTTGGGCCTCAGGTCGTTGTCACTAAACCACGTTTTACTAAAGGGGGGGTCTGTCCGTCCCCGAGGGCAGCGTGAGGGGGATGGGCTCAGGGGGTGGACATCGACCCTCAATCGCCCATTCATCGCCGACGGGCTCGACACACTACCCCGCCCAGGAACGTGTGGATGCGCTGTCGGGGGCAGTTTTCCGACCTTTTCGGCGTTGCATCGCCGATTCCAGGCCGATGTTTTCCACTCTGAGATGGTCACCCCTTGACGTTGTCCCTCAACGGGGGAGGAGGAGGAGGAGGAGGAGGAGGAGGAGGAGGAGGAGGAGGAGGAGGAGGAGGAGGAGGAGGAGGAGCAGGAGCAGGAGGAGGAGGAGGAGGAGGAGGGAGGGAGGGAGGGAGGAAGGGAGGGAGGGAGGGAGGATGGATGAGGAGGAGGGAGGAAAACAAGGGATTGCAGGTTGCGGGCGCGCGGGCCTTGCAGGTGCGTGGTGCAACGCCGGCACTCGTGGCGGATGTGTCGGCTTGATGCGCAGCACTGGCAGCTTGATTCGCTAGTGATGTGGTTCTTGCCTGGGTAGGCGTGTGATTTTGCGGGCGCGACATGGCACGAAGCCTTGCGGAAGAGGATGCGAAGGGGAGGCCAGTCGGACTCGGCACCGCAGCAGTCCTGCGCGCCGTCTGCCAGCCTCCCCAGCGAGGATAGCCCAGCCCCGCGCCCCGGGCGGCCAACAAGACACGCAGCCACGAGAGGGCGGTAGGCTCAAGTCGGGCGTGTCCCCCTACAGGAGGAATACGTATTCAGAAATGATCCAAAATAGGCGACGATTTGTTTGGCTATGTGTGATACGTGTTTAGATGCTGTTGCGGTATGTTTCAGTTTTCCTTCAAAATCCGCCTGTAGGGAGACATGCCCGGCCTAGAGGTACAGTGGAGACCCACACCGAGAAACACCTTGCTTGCCTGCGGGGTGCCCTGGGTTTCTTGGGTGTCGCGATGCCCTTGCTGTGGACAGCGTGACGTGCCCACACCATAAGCCAATGGACGTCCTGGGGTCTCAGGGCTGGGTTTCTTGTGGCAGGTTTCTTGTGGACTGGCCTCCACCTGTGGCCGCCGACGCAACATAAAGCCTGGACCTCTCCCGCCCCCCTCGACCCTCGATCCCGAGCCTCTTGTGGAAGGCTTCTTGTGGAAGGCTTCTTGTGGAAGGCTTCATGTGGGCGAGCCCCTGCTGCAGGGCGGCGGGCTGCGCAGCGGGAAGGAGGGAGGGACCACACGGTGCTCTAGGAGTAGGAGGAGGAGGAGGAGGAGGAGGAGGAGGAGGAGGAGGAGGAGGAGGGGGGCGGAGGGTCGGAGGAGGAGGAGGAGGAGGAGGAGGAGGAGGAGGAGGAGGAGGAGGGGGCGGAGGGCGCTGGGCGGCGGAGCGCCGGGAGGTGGACCACACGGTGCTCGACGGCGAGGACCCGTGGGGCTGCTGCAGGGCCTCTCCTCGTGGGCAGCGAGGCTCCAGGGTCGAGCCTCGAGGAGGAGGAGGAGGAGGAGGAGGAGGAGGCGGCGGAGGCGGATGAGGAGGAGGAGGAGGAGGAGGAGGAGGAGGAGGAGGAGGAGGAGGAGGGATAGGGGGAGGAGGAGGAGATGGAGGAGGAGGAGGAGGAGGAGGAGGAGGAGGAGGAGGAGGAGGAGGAGGAGGAGGGAGGAGGAGGAGGAGGAGGGGGAGGAGGAGGAGGGGGAGGAGGGGAGGAGGAGGAGGGGGCACAGGCCGATGCCCTGCCATGGGCCGCGGCGGTTCCGCGCCGCTGCCTTCAAGCAGTGGCGGGGCGTCCTGGCTCGCCTTAAGTAGGGCCACCAAAGGATGTTCTGAGAACCTTGTCTTTCTGGTTTCAAAGGGATGCTCTCAGGGCACTTCTGGCGGAGCCTGCCCTGTTTTAGCACATCGGATTTATGTTCTAAGGGCGTTGCTTTGGTTCTTGGAACATGTTTGGTTTCGAAGAGCATGTCGTGGTGGGCCTACCGGGATGCTGGGACGGTCGGCCCCTGCTCAATGCCCGCGGCTGCGCACCTCGGCCACCGCGTCTGGGGCCCTGGGCAGAGCCGCTGCCCCCAGCCCTGCCGCCTCTTGGGGGGCCTCGTGGTGGCTTCTCGGGAGCTCCCGGGTGAGTTCCTCCTCCTCCGCCTCCGCCTCCTCCTCCTCCTCCTCCTCCTCCTCCTCCTCCTCCTCCTCCTCCTCCTCCTCCTCCTCTCTCCTCCTCCTCCTCCTCCTCCTCCTCCTCCTCCTCCTCCTCCTCCTCCTCCTCCCCCATCCGCCCTCTCCTCCGCTTCCCCCTCTGCCTTCTCCTCCGCCTCCTCCTCCTCCTTCTCCCTCTCCGCCGCCTCCGCCTCCGGGTCTCGGGGCCGATTTAGGGGGGCCGTTTGGGGGGGTCTCCTGGGCTGGGGCCTGGGGCTGCGTTCCGTTACCATCGTTCCGTCCGCCTCTGTTTTGAGCTTCCATGCGCGTGCCGTTGCGTGCGTTTGGCTCAAGTGACTTGTCAAGACAAGGCGCGGTTGGCGTCTTACCGGAACAGGTACGCGCGCCCCTCTCTCAGCAGCGCGTGCGTGTCAACACTCGCCGTTGCATTTAGTTTCCTGGCATCGCCATGACGCACGACATCTTTAAGAACGAGAGGAATCCATTCATCTACAAGATCCATACGGAGGGATCTTTTGAGTTAAGAGATCCGAGCAAGGGAGGCGAGGAGGATCAGTTGTGAGGTTGTGGAGAGCGATGGGTGGTACAGGTACGATTGGCTCTGAAGAAGGGGTCGTCTGTTGTTCACGTTCGCCCTGAGGTACTCCAGGGCTCGAGCGCATGCAATCGACGATCACTGTTGTCTCGCTGGTCCACTGGGCCTGCGCCACATCGGTCGGCCCCATTGGTGGTCTTCTGGCTGCGTGTGTTATAACTCGGGGAGTTGGAACCCTCACAATGTCACGCCCGCTCGGCAGCATACTTGGCACAGGCGACATGACGCTGGGCAGTTCGACACCGGCATGAGCGGATGCACATGGAGTAACCCGTGGAGTCGAGCAGCTCTTTGCTGGGCGACGCGTCAGTGTCGGACCAAGGACCAAGAGTGGACCCATGTGAGAATTGATGCGGTCGGTGCGTCAGGTGGGCAGGACTTTGCCTCACATGGTCTCCAACGCGCGCGCACAGAAACACACACACACACCACAACACAGCGCGGTGGCGGCTAGGTTGGTCAACGTCATGGCAGAATCCCCTGGGCGATCGAAGGCGTTTCAACGGCCTCCGTGAAGAGCCTGGCCGATGCAGGTGTGATGGTTGCGGCGGTGGTCGTGTGAGTCGTTTTGCCAATTCGTCTGTGGGTGCGTCGTTTCTCGAGTTGTGCACTTCCCGCCTGTTCCTTGCGATGCTTCCTGCTCTTGAACTCGTGCCCACCTCTCACGTTCGTCCTCGTCCTCGTCTCCGATCGATCCACATGCAGACTGCACTTGCTCTCTGCCTCCTCTCTTGATGCCACGCTCTCCCGAAGGACGCCCCGATGGGCCCCATCTGCGAGGTGTTGGAGGCCGTGCGCCGCATTATCGCACGCAGCGTGCCAGTTCATGAAGAGAGCACAGCACTGTTAAGGCCCATGTCTGTGATCGCTGCCTGGCGTTGTGGTACAGTAAGGGTCCTGAAGAAGGAACCCTTTTCGTTGGGGAGGGGCTCCGTGTTCCTTGATAGTTTCACAGTTTGCCTTCGGTATTCCTGAGGTTTCCCATGGGGAATGGAAGTTTAACTTATGAGAAAAAGGGACCTCGTTTCTTGAATAAGGCTCCTTAGGTCAACGCCCCGACTGCACCTTTCCGCCACGCTGTGGGTGGTGCTGTGGTCGGCCTGCTGGGGAAAGACACCTGCTTTTTCGGCGCGGCAGCAGGCAGCGAGGAGAGGCGGGGAGAAAAGAGCGATGATGCGGGTGCCCCGCGGTCTACCAGAGAGTGAATTACCTACCCCGCTTCGCTTCCAGGAAAAACCAAGTCATACCACGCGCCTCCTCGTCAAGCGGCCTGACCAGTACATGCCGTAGTCCGTAGTTTTGGCATCGCTTGGTATCTCTTGGAAGCGAGGGTGGGCAAAAGCGAGGTAGGTTTGTTTGCCCCCTAGAAAAGAGCCATGATGCGGGTGCCCCGCGGTCTAGGAGAAACGCTCCGGGCGGCTCGGGTCGGACGAAGGAGGGGATACGGCACGGGGAGTCGCGGAATCTGCTGCGCGCAGCTGGTTTCGGCCCCACCGCCGGGCGCCTGCCTCGATGCAATGGCGACTCCAGTTCCAGGAGGCGCTGGGGCAAAACTCAGCTACGTTTGAGCTGATTCTCTAGGCCCCCTTGTACCCCCCTTCCCCTTCGCTAACCCCATCCCTTTCGTTTTCATTCGACCCGAGAGGCCGAGGGGGTGGCACCCCCGCCGAGAACACAAGTCTTCTCCGCCCTCCCCCTATGTTGAGCTGGACACGGTCCTTTACATGATGCAGCTTGAAGAGTAGTGTCAGATTCATATCCATAGGTCCCCCCTCTCACGGACAAACATCGCGCGCGCCGAAGGAGCTCCAACCTCCGCCGGAAGGTTTAGCCCCGTCGGGGGGGGGGACTCCCCACGGGCAGTCTTGATGCTTCGCACATCTCCGCTGGCCCATCATGGAGCGACCTCGAATTTCATCAGAGTCACGGGGCCGAACGGTCATTCATTGCCCATGGGTGCGTGGCCGAATATGGAATTCGTGGTGAGAATTCTGCTTGTTGCGTTGTTGCTGTTGCTGTTGCTGTTATTGTTGTTGCTGTTGCCGTTGCTGCTGCTGCTGCTGCTGCTGTTATTGTTGTTGTCGCTGTTGTGTTTTTGGTGTTGATGATGTTGATGTTGTTGAATTTTCATTTCCGAAGAATAATTATTGTTGGTCCTCCCCCACCGGTGCATACTGTTTGTTCTCAATCAAAGTGTGCCCCTCGACGCTCGCACCTTGTTTTTTGACAGGGAAAGTATTGATGCTCAAACTGGGCCCCTGGCCCCCGGGTTACAACAACAACGGCTCCCGCCTAAGCTTTCCTCATACTGTAATTTAGCCAGGACCCCCGCTCTCGCCCGAGACTTCCTCGCATTTTATTCAGGAATCGCGCTCTCGCTTGGGACTTCCCGGCGCTCTGGAGTCGCGCTCTCGCTGGAGACTTGCTTGCAATTTGCTGACGACTAGCGCCCTTGCGTTCGAATGTCTGGTAATTTATGAGATTTACTCGAGCACCGCGCTCCCGACACCCAGGCACCCAGGAGTCGCGCTCACGCTTAGGACTCCCTCACAGATTACCTCGGAATCGGGATCTCGCTGCCCTTCGTGGCCCCGTTGCAGCCTTTCGTGGCCCCCTCGCTTTGTTTCGTGGCCCCGTTGCAGCCCTTCGTGGCCCCCTCGCTTTGTCTCGTGGCCCCGTTGCAGCCCTTCGTGGCCTCCTCGCTGCCCTTCGTGGCCCCGTTGCAGCCCTTCGTGGCCCCGTCGCGTTGTTTCGTGGTCCCGTTGCAGCCCTCCGTGGCCCCCTCGCTGCCCTTCGTGGCCCCGTTGCTGCCCTTTGTGGCCCCCGTTGCAGCCCTTCGTGGCCCCCTCGCTGCCCTTCGTGGCCCCGTTGCAGCCCTTCGTGGCCCCCTCGCTTTGTCTCGTGGCCCCATATATGTATGCCCTTCGTGGCCCCCGCTCGTTCGCGCCCGTGGTGGCCCCATATGCATGCCCTTCGTGGCCCCGCTGTCGCCCTTCATGGCCCCCTCGCTGCCCTTCGTGGCCCCGTTGCTGCCCTCAGTGGCCCCGTCATTGCCCTCCGCGGCCCAACATACGTATGCCCTTCGTGGCCCCGCTGTCGCTGTTTGTGGCCCCCTCACTGTCCTACGTGGCCCACTTGCTACCCTCAGTGGCCCCATCGTTGCCGTCTGTGGCCCCGCATTATCTGCCCTTCGTGGCCCCCGCTCGTTCGCGCTCTCCGTGGCCCCATACGCATTCCCTTCGTGTCCCCGCTGTCGCCCTTCGTGGCCTACTTCGTGTCCTTCGTGGCCCTGCTGTCGTTCTCTCTCGCTCTCGCTTTCGCTCGTCGTCGCCGTCGTCGTCGTCGTCGACGTCGACGTCGTCGTCGTCGTCGTCGTCGTCGTGGTCGGTCCACTGTCCGTCCCTCTTGAGGTCGGGTCGACGGTCCGCGGCCGCCCCGCCGATCAGCGCTGCCGCTGGCCAGGCCGACGGTCCGCGGCTGCCCCGCCGCTTGCCGGGGCCCGGCCTGCAGGGAAGAAAGGTATACCCCCAAAAGGGGCTCGATCGAAGACGAAGCGGGCGGGTATCGAGTGTTCGGGGAATACGCGTTATTGGACACTCGACCAGATAAGGGCGAACCGTCTTAAAATGATTGTTGTTGCTGTTGTTGTTGTTGTCGTCGTTGTTGTTGTTGTGGTTGTCGTTGTTGTTGTTGTTGTTGTAGTTGTTGTTGTTGTTGTTGTTGTTGTTGTTGTTGTTGTTGTTGTGGTTGTTGTTGTTGTTGTTGTTGTTGTTGTTGTTGTTGTTGTTGTTGTTGTTGTTGTTGTTGTTGTTGTTGTTGTTGTTGTTGTTGTGTTTGTTGTTGTTCGCTCTCGCCTCGGCGCTGGCTGCATTTTCATTGAAAATGAGGCTCACGCTCGAGCGGTCTGGGGGACCACCAAAACCGGCGCCCCAACAACAACAACGCTCCCGCTCGAGACTTCATTTGTTTTGCTCAGGGCCGGTGCTCTTGCTCGCCGCCGAAAGCCGTCGTCCCAACACAAGCAGCGCTCTCACTCTGGACTTCCTCCCGTTTTACTTTGTACTGGCCCGCTACTCTTTCTCTCATCGGCGCCGCCCAGCAAAAAGCAACTCTCCCGCTCGAGACGTCCTCCCTTTTCCCGGAAAGGGCGCCGGCCCAGGGTTCTCTTTTAGTTGGTAAACCTAATCCCCCGGTGCCAACTTGAAGGAGGCCGGCGGATTTTTTCCCTGATAAATATCGAGGTCGAAGGAGGCCGGCGGATTAAAATTTGAGGATGTCTCAGGCGAAACGCTTGTTTTTGAAATCCCGATCGATAAATCACAGGGTGTGGGACACCTCAGCACGACCACACCCCAGCACGACCACACCCCAGCACGACCACGCCCAAGCACGACCACACCCCAGCACGACCACACCCCAGCACGACCACACCCCAGCACGACCACACCCCAACACGACCACACCCCACCACGATCACACCCCACCACGACCACACCCCAGCACGACCCGATCGATGAATCACAGGGTGACACCCCAGCACGACCACACCCCAGCACGAGCACGCACGCCCAGCCGACCACCCCAGCACGACCACCACCCCAGCACGACCCAGCACGCACCCAGCACGACCCCACCCCACCACACCCCAGCACGACCACACCCCAGCACGACCACACCCCAGCAGCACGACCCCACCCCAGCACGACCCCACCCCAGCACGACCCCACCCTAGCAAGACCACACCCCAGCACGACCACACCCCAGCACGACCTCACCACAGCACGACCACACCCCAGCACGACCACGCCCCAGCACGACCACGCCCCAGCACGACCACGCCCCAGCACGACCACGCCCCAGCACAACCACCCCCCAGCACGACCACCCCCCCAGCACGACCACACCCCAGCACGACCACCCCCCAGCACGACCACACCCCAGCACGACCACTCCCCAGCACGACCACACCGCCTTGGTTGAGTGGTTGCCTGTCGTCGTGGAATGTTTCGTGGGGTGTCTCGTGGAATGTTTCGCGGGGTGTCTCGTGGAATGTTTCGTGAGGTGTCTCGCGGAATGTTTCGTGAGGTGTCTCGTGGGATGTTTCGTGAGGTGTCTCGTGGGATGTTTCGTGAGGTGTTGCCCCGTTGGGTATCGTGAAAACGTGCCCATGCTCCACATGTCTATATCCCTTTCCGGGTTCGTGGGTCCATCATGTTTTACTCAAGGCGGTGCTTCTCCTCGCCGCCGAAAGCCTCCGTCCCGTCAAAACCAGCGCTCCCGCTCGAGACTTCCTCCCGTTTTACCTTGGACTGGCGCGCTACTCTTTCTCTCATCGGCGCCGCCCCCAGCAAAAGCAGCGCTCCCGCTCGAGACCTCTTCATTTCTCAACTCCACACGCTGCTCCTCCTCGCCGCCGAAAGCCGCCGTCCCGACAAAACCAGCGCTCCCGCTCGAGACGTCCTATTTCAGCAATTATTATGGTTGGACCCCCTAGGCGCCCTGGCGGTCTCGCCTCGGCGCCGGCTGCATTTTCATTGAAAATTAGGCTCACGCTCGAGCGGTTTGGGGGACCGCTAAAACCGGCCCCCAAACAACAACAACAACAACAACAACAACAACAACAACAACAACAACAACAACAACAACACTAACAACAACAACAACAACAACAACAGCAACAGCAACAGCAACAGCAACAGCATCAACAACAACAAAAACAACAACAACAACAACAACAACAACAACAACAACAACAACAACAACAACAACAACAACAACAAACACAACAACA